TATTATATTTTCACTTCATATGTCAGATAATAATCTTTATTTCTTGATTTAGGTGTTTACTGTTGGCAGAATTTGTGCTGATCGTACCAGAATTTATCATAAACTGAAACATTTTAAATTCAAACTGTACCAGGAATGTTGCTCCATTGCAAAGACAGAAGAAGTGGAGGATGAACAGGTTAAAGAAACAGTGGAAAGAATTTTCAGTCAGTCAAAAGAAAGTGGCTGGATTAAGGAGGTAAGGTGAATATATTAAAGCTATCTCATACTGTAGATTCTGGAGCCTAATTATGATCAGCAAAAGGATACAAATGATTAGAAATACAAAAGAGAATCTCTCCTTCTCTCCCTGTCTTTGTATTTTCTCATCTTCCACCCATTCCTTTCATGCTTATCACTGTCCTACCCTGAATAGATGCCCTGATGTTCTACGGATTCACTCAGTTCATCAGATAAATTTTAATAAGCAATAATACTGTTCCTTAATGAAGGACCTCTGTCCTTTCAGTTTTGCATATGTATTGCTTACATATATATTAAGTCCCCTTATTTTCTTTGACAAAGTATAGGACTCACCTCTGCTTGTCTGCTTCCTATTCTTTAGAACAGTTCTTGTGACCTGAGAGTGAAGAAGTACCTGGTGCCAATCTGAGGAAAGGATCTCGGCTGCCAGTTCTAATACCACCCACATCCTCTTCTTGAGGACATGGGACTGAGCAGTGAGCACTGTAACTGAAGATCGAGGGGAATGCAGAGGTTTCAGGCCACGGCACTGATTTTGATTCCCCCATATCCTATTGATCACTAAATTTGATATCAGGGATAAAGTGGGGGTTTTGAAGAGTGCACTGGATTCCCGAAGATCTGCTGGCAGCTCATAAGCTCTGGTCTGCTCACAGAGCTTTTAGAATTGTTTATGGTCCATGGAAAGAATGCTAATATGATTGCAATCTTTTAAAGCAAGTCTAGTTACATGAATGTGTAAGAGAGAACAAATAGTAGATTTTCAGGCGACTCAGATAAACAGTATATTTAATCTTGAAAAGAAAAGAAAAAAGCCTGATTTGAAATCCATTGCCTGGGTTATATCATAGGGAAATTTGTAAAAGAGGAAAATAAAAAATAAGGCAAGAGAGCTTAGAACACAAACTTATGAGCAGAGGGAAAGAAAAAGAGAACAAGAAAATAGGAACTTCTTAGGACATGTCATGTTTAGTGTAGGTCTCCCAGTCTAGAGAATGACATCATGATTGGTTTCTCTTTTAACAATTATCCTTCCACCACAAACCACCACCCAGTGATCTTGCCTCTCCCCCCATCTTGATCCTTAAGTCTTCTTCCTCTCATTTTACTCTCTTCAGCTTTTTATCTTTTACTTTGCTTCTACTTCTCCTACTATAAATGCTTCCCCCCACCATCCTTCTCTGTGCTTTTCCATTTGCCTTAGGGGAGAGCTGTCACCCAGTAATGCCCGTCTTCATTTTCCTAGACAACATTAAATTCTTAAGTGCTTTTATCGATGCCTTTAAGTGTTGCCAGCCCTCTAGTGGAATGGTAAAACCTGTTGGGATGCCACATTTGTGAAGAATTGTATACTAGGTGTAGAAGAATCACTGTGCATGTATTATATATGTTATATCATAAGAGCATATATTGGGAAGAACATTAAACTCCTTGCAGAAAAAACAAAAGGCATTTCCAAATCATGTACCTTAGAGAGAGCTTAACAAGGTTTAGGACAACAGAAGGGAGCGGGAATAAGAAAAATAGTCTCAGGAAAAGAAAGCCAAGTGTCATATTATGTATAAAGAATAACACCAGCATTAGGCATTGAAGGCATTTCAAGATCATGCATTGTGTTTAGGACAATGTGTACATTTTTTTCACATAAAAATACCAAAAAACTTAATTGTCTAAAATTGTTGAGATCCCTCCATTTAAAAAAAAATGTCCAAAGACTTTCTCAAAATATTTCCTAGAAACCACAGAAGTTTATAGCCCATATAAACCTATTTGCAGCTTTTTGTGCTGTGACAAAATTTCAAAATTTGTCAAGTGCTGTTTATTTTCCACCTCTGCCTCTTCCTCTCTCCATGTGCCTTTGAGTGATCGCACTGCATGTGCTTTGTGATGCGTGCCTTATTTGGCTGCAGTCTCCTGGTCGCAGATACTCTAACCCTTTTAGAATGCCTGAGGCTCAGTGCTACTTGAATGCCCTCTCCGTGGCTCTTTCTGCTCTTACCTCCGAATTATGGCAACCCCTTCTTTTGCCTTGCACAAACTATTAGTTCCTGTCTTTCTGCCCCAGCCTGTGTTTCATACCTTACTTTTTCCCCTACCTGCCTCTTCTCCAACTATTTTTCTTCCATTATCTCAGGATATCTCAGTATATCTTCCTAAAGACCTGCCAATTGGACTGACTTCATGCTTCTTTTTCTTCATCCTAACTGTTGAGCTAGGATGATCTGTTTTTAATCTAATGATATTAAAGAAATGTAGGAGCCACTCGAGTATAAGAAAAAAACAAATGATAGAAAAATTGTAGTAAGGGCCAGGCGCGGTGGCTCACGCCTGTAATCCTAGCTCTCTGGGAGGCCGAGGCGGGTGGATTGTTTGAGCTCAGGAGTTCGAAACCAGCGTGAGCCAGAGCGAGACCCCGTCTCTACTAAAATTAGAAAGAAATTAATGGGACAACTAAAAATATATAGAAAAAAAAAATTAGCCGAGCATGGTGGTGCATGCCTGTAGTCCCAGCTACTCGGGAGGCTGAGGCAGGAGGATCGCTTGAGCCCAGGAGTCTGAGGTTGCTGTGAGCTA